TTATGACACCGAACTAGATTATCTCCTGTAATTGTTTCTTCTGCATCACCAAAAAGTTTAACCCTCTATCCCCAATTTTTACACTCCCAAATAGCATATAGTTGTCTGCAGGATTTCCATCTGCAATAAAGCTTCCTCAAAACAGTGTTAAGGAAGCCAGGCCATAAACAAACATCTTGTAGAGCAGAGGCCATGTTAGAGAATCACACTGTCTCTGTGCAACCTTGGCACTGCTTGGTGATGACCATATAATAATACTGAGGGGCTCTCAAGTCACTCAGAATAGCAGACCATCTCCTAATACTTGAACACCCTCTGCTCTACCTTCAATGAAGCAAACTCCTCTATGAATTGAAAAAATATCTCTTTATACATGTAACGGTAATTACAGTTATGTCTTGACTTACTGTGTTAGATTGGACAAATTGAGGTATTACGGACTTCAATTTATTAGTCCGAACAAAACCATGATAATAGCTCTTGCTCATAAATCCTTACCGTGACTAATCTCAGATAGAAGTCGTATGGCTATGTGATGTCTATCAAATACAGGTGTTTTTCTTCCAGGTACTGTAGAAATTACAAGGCCCCATGCAAACCGTGAAGGAGCACAGATTCATAGATCATACAGATGTAAGGGAATACTACAATCATCTCTAAGTACCATAAAAAACATATACGGAAGTACCACAGATTCCAATCCCTCCTGTTAAGAGAGCCCCAGCAGTAAGTTCACTTATATTGACCAAGTCTATTAGCATTATTTTCATTATTGTACATGGATTCCTAGTTTCCTGTTGCTTCTGTAACATGTATTTATGTATTTACATTATTATCTAAATTCAAAAGGCCAAGCTGGATGAGGTTTGATTCTATGATTCAATCACAAGGCTATTTAAAATAGATGAGTAGGCGCTGTCTCAATTAAATAAAACTAAACCAAAACTACAGTAAAACAAAATGAAATTGCAAGGAAACTGAAAATGCTGTAAGAGGACCCAGCATTTCACAGAATCAAACCTGTGTCATGGGAATAGCTGATTTAGCTTGAAAAGTTAATCCATACAAAATGCTTGCATTTCCTTTCTTGCTGGTATATCTTAAGAGGACTTCATAAGGTTATCACCATTTGCTACCCCTGCCAAAGATAGCCTATCTAGTATATGTACTTTTAGGCTAATTTAAAATAAACTCAGGCATTTGTTTCCACTTGGCCTTGTTTCCATGTCAACAGCACTTAATGAATGCATCATTCCAGGAAATGTCAATAAGGAGCAAAGAAGAATGAACAAGCACTGAAAACTTCACACATGGCATACATCCTTCACAATCATATCGCTTTAATAAAAATAGGTGAGGTCACCTGCAGCATTTGCAAATGCCCTGTAATACATTCCGACCCAGATGATTTTTCACAGTTCAGTAACACCACGTTTGAAGTTTTCACTGCAAACAATACACCCACAGGACTGACCAAGTGCGGGTACAAGAGAAGCAACCAGCAATTACTGTGTTGACTTCTGTTACTTTGATCTCTGGGTCATGACCCCTGCTTTCACGCAATCTTCAAAGTAGAGATTGTAGAATAGGTTATTTTAGAGGACGCACTGTTTTGCAAGCTATTTTTCTGTTTCTTGCTTCCTGTTTCAGCCAAAAGCTTTTAAAACTTTCCTAGCAGCATTACATTTTATATACTCTGCCTTCCCTTGCCCTCACTCCCAGAATATCCCTTTAAAAATATCACCTTCCAAATATGGAAAGATTAAAAGATAGGATGAAAAATAAAAACTTATAGGACCTCTTTTTTTCAGTTTTGTTTTTTTGATTGTTTGTTTGGGTTTTCTGTTTGTTGATTTTTGTTTGTTTTGTGTTTTTTGTTTGTCTGTTATTTTTAACAAAGGAACTAAATCTATTTTATAATGACAGAAAAAACCAGGAATATTAAAAATGAAAGGTAAGGAGAAATAACAGGAATGGGGGGAAAAAAAGGTTTTCCTTTTGCTAAAAAGTATCCCACTCAAATGTTCCTGTATTTCTGACCAAAAAATAGCTACTTTGAGAAAACTCACAACAATGTTTTTGTACAACACATTTTTAATGAAAAACTAGAAATAAGCTTTAGTATTGAAATTGATAGAAATGGTATAACCTTGTCAGAAAGCACTTTTATACATTTTCCAAGTATTTATAATGAAACCTAATTATTTTTAAAAGTTGTAATATTATTTTTTTACGCCTGTTACTAATATCAGGTAAATCAGTGGACCTTGAGTTTTTAAAATTCTGATTTTCCACATTCTTTTAAGGTTGAAATTTTGGAAGTTTTACACATCTTTTCAGTTTGTTGGAATGAGAAGATTAAGTAAAGCTTTGATTTCTAGCACCTTTCTCTTTCTGCTTGAGGAATTAAATAGCCTGAACTCTAATTGAACTCAGTAGGAATGAAATCAGAGCTCAATGAAAAATGAAGCCATGGTTCCAATGGTCACTGCAGAAATTTACAAAAAGAAGTTCCTATTCAAAACAAAACAAAACCAGATAAAGTTTATGGTAAACCAAAATGTTTATATAATTCAGGTTCACTGAAATGCAATTTTTTGATGCTTTCTGTGTGACAAATTTTCTCAAACAAATAGAAATCCTATTGAAAAAAGTTACTTCAAATCATTAAAAAATGCTGAAAATGGACATTTCATTTAAGATTTTAAGCAATACATTTGATAAAATACAAATATTTTCTCACTCAGGAGAGCTTGCTGCTATTAAATATATGAGATAAATCTGTATGTTTGGGGAAAGGAAGAAAAAAGTTGTCCAAGATGCTTCAGAATGTGAATTCAAAACACTGATTTTATTCAGAATAGAATTAGCAGACTACTTTTAATTAGTTCCACCATGTAGGTGAATTTATTCTCCTAAAGGTAGATGGATGGATGGATACATGGTTTTGAGTCTAATGTTGTCTGGCAAACACATTTCGTACAATGTAACAAATAATTACGGAAAAGGATCAGGAAGCTTTCATTACAGCAGCAGAACCATAAATCATTCAACTAATTACAAGTCCATTACTCTTTCTTAAAAGAGCTTTGATTAACCTTGTTTATATTAAAAAAAAAAATACCCAGGTTTTCGGAAAAATAAAGAGAAAGAAAATGGAAGCAATTTTGCAGTTTCCAGCAGATGCATAAATACAATCACTTCACACTTTGACACAGTGGTTAGCCACTATGTGACCTAAAACTACCTTGACCTCCTTGAAGTCACCATTTTTGCATTGAAATAAAACAACGGACATGCTTGTTTTGATGTATGGCTGTGTGACATATTATAAATATTACATCACATAACCACAGAGGATGTCAATCAATAAAGAATTTTTTCAGACAGCACTAAATGAACCATGGGTTCTTGCCTCTGAATGGCTCCTTTAACGTTCTACTTTTGCTTAAATGATTAATAGCAGACATATTGTCAGAAAACATACTTAAAGTGAAAACCAGTAAACTGTAGAGATAACATTCATTTTTTAAGCAATTCTCTAGTGCAAAAGTCACATAAATTTACATAGAGACAGCACTCAGAGTCTTGTAAGCTGGACAGTAGACATAACTTCCACTTAAATGTGAAAGCTAAAGGAAAATATTTTATTAAATCTAAGCTGTTCTACTCGGTGAAAACCAAAATGGTACAGCAAAGCTGGATTCTAAAGTTGAAGCATTAGAAAGTGAAAGTCTTTTGGCTAATGATAACCTAGAAACCCTTCTCAAAACTTTGGAATAAAGAAAAAAAAAAAAAAAATATGCATAGCCAGGACAGCTGTGCTGCTGTTTCAACCTACAGCATGTATGAGTAATAAACCGGTGCCTTGAATTCATGCCACTTCCCAATAAACCTGGTTTTAGTCTCTGCCACTTTGTATTGTTTTATACTAACTCCTACAGCAGAGTTTGGATTACATGAAGATAAAATCAGAGTTTTATTACATAAGTCCAAATACTGCAGGTGATCTGATAATAAAAGGTGAACCTGAGTTCTTTGCAGAAACCTGAGTTCTGCAAGGTTGGCAATACGGTGACCAGTACTGTTTGGCTCCGACTTGCCTCACACAACCATTTTCAGTTCATGTGGAAAATGCCAGCACACAAAGACTGTAATCTTGTATCAGATGTGAGCTCAGAAAAAGAAATCCAATTAATTTCCCCCCTGCGTTTGCCTAAAGGTTATAGCTATGAAAATTATGTCTCCTGAACAGACATTCCATAAGTTTTGGATCTATACTGAAAATCATTAGTCACAAATATTTTAATTTTTTGTTTTAAATATCCTTTGTAATTTTAACACCATTTCAAGTTGGATCACTTGGACATACAAATTTTATAAGGCTTGCATCTTAATTTCCAGACAACCTTTTGTGTAATCTAGCTCCTTAAAATTACGTTATAGAGAGAGTTTGGTTGGGTTTTTTTTCTTTTCATTTGAATCTAAAATCTAACTGCTCTGAGGAAAGCAGCACAATATAGAGGGAGTCCTTTCTTTCACGTTCTTTAAGAGTGCCTTGATAACTGTAGTAGAAGAAACTCATCACCATAATCAAATCTTATCACAAGACAAGGCCACTGGCTGAGTGTAGTGATTTTTTTCTTTATTGACTGTCACCCCCAGTGTATATAAATGCTGTCTTACCTTGGCCTTAAAGAAGGAAAGGTCATAACTATGCACATATGAGCACCCACATTCAGGAAATCCTGTGCACACCTGCTCAACTCAAACTTGTGCTATACAGCACTGAAATATTTGTTGAAATAAGGTTCCTGAGAGTCATCTCGCTGAAATGGGGTTACTCCAATTCCCAGATGATTCGTGGCTGAACATGCCACAATGCTTTCAGAATAGTATAGATGTTTGTTTGAGACTATGATTTGGTTTTAGTTCAATATTTTTCCTGTAATACACCAAAACCCACATACCTTATCATATCTACAAGTCAAAACACTAACCTGTACCTCTGGTAGTCATCTTCATCCTTTTCTTTGCAGACCAGTTCATTTGGGCAGGCCATGTTTCCAAGCAAACTGAGATACCGTAGCGAGGGCACAACTTCAGCCAAATGGTCCAAAAGTTTTTCTAATTCTGTTATGTGTCAAGGCTGTGGGTTAAGGATTCAATGACATTAATAAAAAAAGCATTTAGAGTTGCATCACTGCTGATTTAAACATGCATTTCAATAACTGACAATCAAATTTAGTATGGCATTCAGGAAAATGTCACATTAATTGTTCCAAGGGCAAACAGGGATAAACTTCAGTCAGTTTTTTGGCACAGAAAGAAAGAATTTGGCTGTTTTTTCATTCTTTTCTCCTCCTCTCTTTCCTAGGTGGTTCACTAGAAAACATTAAAACTTTGACAAAATGATGGATGCTGTGTGGTAAAATGGCTAGCAATTGCTGGAGCCATGAAAACTTTTCCAGCATGGAAACAAACAGTTAGTTTAACAGCACATTCATCACTAATATATTCAGTCCACTGGAAAATTAGTTTAAAAAAAAAAAAAAAAAAAGTCAAACCACAACAACCCACTTTCACTTCCAGCATATAAATGCTTTGAGTGCCACAGCAACACACTCATAATTACTCAATTAGTATATGTGAATTAATGCATCACTAAGTGCAACTTAAAGACTTCAGTGTTACAATTATTTTATATTTGAAGCTTTGAAAACTTGGAAAACATAAAATTTTTCATTAAACTAACCTTCTATTTTGGTGTTCATGAGGCCTTTTAACAACTATATTGCTCAGAACATAAATAATGATGATACACCTTCAATACTGTAAACTATGTTAGAACAAACAGGTAAACATAGGTTAAAGTATCTTTTAACCACTGCAGTATTGGAAATCACAGCTTGGGTTTAAGCATAACAACAATATTCAACCATTTGCACCCTGCTGATTGATCAAATAAAGCAAATTATTTTATTAAAGTATAGTGTGACAGTCTAATACTGAAAAACTATACACTCTTGTTTAATTCAATCTACATGCAAAGAAAAAGGTGTGATTCTCAAAAAGACACCATGTATATCCGTGTAAGAAATTTTCAGTGTTTATAAATTGGCTGACTTTGACAATGGTAATAATTATTCAAAAACCATTAAAGGGCATTTCATTGCCCTGTTTTTATCCACTACTGCTGTTAGATACCGCAACTATTGTTTTACACCCTCAGTTCACTTCTGTTGCTATTATTTATACTTGATTTATGTGTTTCTGTTATCTTTGTTATTTTTAGCTGATGGAATTTACTTTATTTCTTCACCTCAATATCTTAAGGGCAACAGAAGCAATACAAAATAGAAAGAGCAGCTTCATTGTTAAAAATGTGGTCTTCCTTTTGCGAGCCTGAAATTTTATTTGATTTCCAGTGAAGATCACATGAAGATCATGCTGACAATTACTAATTTTAATATATTAAAATCAATGTATCTACACTCATAGTTAATGTTCTATCCCATAAGGTCTGGGGAAACATACTCAAAGATTTTGCATGAGTGAGAAAAATAAAGGTTTGAAATTAGTTCTATGAATTAATTAAAAAGGTAAAAATGCTAACTTTTCATTTGGCAAAGCCACATTATGGAATCCTATATGCCAGTAAGTAATCGATCAGACCCTAAGATAAAATGTCTTTCTGTAGCATCACATGACATAAATCTTTGTTAATGGATGAATTCCCAAACAAAATTTGGTGCTAATGCTCATCTTCTCGTATCTGGACCTCAAGCCTATTCATGGCTCTTTCAGAAAGTATACAACTGTGATGGGAAGGTCACAAACTGTTTTTCCACACACGCTCAACTGAAAGGCTTTTTAAAAATTTCCTAAGATTGTTACAGAAGTGCTTGAATCTGGCACCCTCCCTCATCCAGGAGAAACACTTAATTTCTTGTAGGATTGCTTATACTGCAAAAAGATTCCCCGAGAGAAATAGTTTATTATTACAAAAGACAGTTATTTCCATAACAGCAATCACACACAGGGGGTTAGCTATTGCAAGGCTTAGATTGTATCTGGCCATTTCTTATTGAAAGGAAAAAACAAAACCCCAAACAAACACTCAAACTTTTTGCTCTTCTATGGACTAAACATGCAGAACTTTTGCTTGTTAATTCAGTAGAGCTTTCTCTGGAGTAGAAATTTGGGAATCACATACAGACTCCTTACCATCCAGTTCAGTATGAGACTCTCCAGATCTTCTCTTTGTTATCATTTACTCACCTCCCATTACTGAAATATGTTTAGCATCTTAGTGTTATTTCAAATCCAGCTGCAACAGAAACAATGTGAACAGGACAAACGCCAAGAATCAGACATAATCATCCTCAAAAGTAGAAGGTTACCAATTCACAGAAAATTTGAAGCTTTGCAGGATTAGACAGCCCAAAAATAACAGGACACAAGCAACACTTCAGAACAAACCAACCTGTACCTTATGATAGCCAATTATTTTTGCAGTTTTGCCATTAGGTTTAAAAAAATTTAAAAAAAAAAAAAAATCTGTTCTGTAGGACTTCAACTATCTTTTCTCACCCCTCTTAAAAAAACAAAACAAAATGCAAGGTACAGATTATTTTTCCGGGAAGCCCAATTCACCTGCCACCACAGTTATTCTTTACAAAGCATGTAGGAAAAAATAAATGATAGCCTGTGCAAATTCTCATGATTAAGTGTTTCTCAGAGATGAATCATAAGTTATGGTGTACTTCTAGTTTACCACTAATTAGCACATCATATACTTTTTTTAATCACAATACTAGAACTGTATGATGCCACTGAAAGTGTAAAGTCCTTCTAAAAAAATGCTAGCAAAATAGAGAGGGAGAAAATCGAAAGAAAGTCTGAACTTTACTGCTAACTTCCTTTCTATGGTTTATTGTTATTAGGCCAATAAGGCATAAGGAGTGCCGTACTGGTGCAATCAGAGCCAAAGAACTGCAAGATCCTGCTGTGCAGTTTCTAAGATCAATTTCAGCTCCATTCTCTCCAAAAAGGAAAGCCACAATTAAATCCATGGACAGTGCTAGTGAAAATTTATTTAGTTATTTAAAGCTTCTGAAGTCAGTGCCACTGGTCACCAGGTGAATATGTAACAGTGATACAAATACTTACACTATAGTCTATTGTTTGAAAACTTGTTTCAAGTGTCACTTATGACAATTAAAGTGCTTTAGTGTAGTGATGCATCTCTTAATTCAACAGCATTATCATTACCAGTCTATTAATGCTTCTCTTTCTAATAGATGTTGACTAAAACAAAAATTCGTAACAATAAAAAATTTAAACTCTTAACCTCCTTAACTCACAAGCTATAACATTAATTTTCAACAATTATACAACAGTCCGCTCCAAAAACACAACCTGGCCTCCACGAATAATTGACAGAAACACACTAGACATACTTCCAAATTTCATCCTCATTGAAAGACTATGCTGACTTCTTGCACTGTTTCTAGTTTTAAATTAAGGAAGCATTCACAGGAACTGGGCATCTCTCATTCTGAGATTAACTTTTTTAAGCCTGTTCATTGTGTTACACATATGCATATCACAGATGTATATTTATAGTAGACTGTTCATAGCATACATACGCACAAGCACGCACAACCATATCACCGTATTTTCTGTTCAGAAAAAAATGCTACCAGTAACACTGAGACATTAGCTACAGAATTAATTGAAAGTATAGTCTGTGGTGGGTCCAGTTAAACTGCACAGCAATATAAGTTTTTGCAAGTTTTACTCAACCTAAAATATTCTACAAATAAGTATGTTCTAACTTTTCTATTTTCACTCACTATCTGGTACCCAAAACCATAGTTTTTGAGGTTCTCCAGAAGACAAAAAGAACAAGCAAATGCCCAAAGCAAATGATGCATCTCCCTTCTTTGGCTAAGAATTAACTGTCTATGAAAGCTCATAACAATTTTGTTTGTGCTGTAAAAAACCCTACAGCCTGGATTAAAAGTCTAGTGCTAGTCAGGACTGTGGGCCCTTACAAACCCTTCAAAGATTAGTTACACAGTATTCAAGACTACTTCCAAAGAAGGATCAGTGTGATTCAAAGTTAACTTGTCCCCAGGGAATACTACATTTGAGCAAGGTCAAAGTTACAAAGTCTGAGTGGATAGTATAATGTCACTTCACTTAGACAGTTTTAGGAGAACCTCGCAAGCAGGGACAGCCATTTTGATGCTAAGCTGTGTCTTGTGACAGCCAGCATAGTAAAAACATCATTCTGCTATGCTACTCAGACACTGTGTGGATTCACACAGGAACTACTGGATGATGCCTCTTCCACTGTTCCAGAGCTCTGTAGTCTCAAGAGTCTCTTTAGCTGTGCCCTTTCATTAGTCCCTCCAGCATATTTCCAGGGCACAGACACTGCATGAATCCTTTCTGGAGAGCAATGTAAGAGTCCAGCTTCTTTAAGTACTGAGGACTGATGCTGGTCATTCCCATCTCCTCTATTTCCTCTCTTGCCGGCATTCTTGGTATAACCATATTCATAGTTGTTCTTCAGAGACAACAGCTAGTCAAATCTATGCAGAAACACAACCTTTGCTAAGTTTCTAAATGAAATTTTCCTATTCAGCTCTATACAAATGCTATGTTAACATATACCTGTCCAAACAAACTAACCTATATATATTTATCGTCTCACACCTAAATTATTTTTTGCATAAAGTTTGAAGTATGCCAGAGAATCTGGAATTTCTTTCTGTAACCATTTTGTCTGCCAGCAGTTCTTTTTAACACTCATACACTCAAATACAATGACTTTATAAGAAAAGTAAACATCCTTGATCTCAGCTCTCAGTGCTTTCCAAGTTGTTCCATCATTTTCTTTCAAAAAGTTTGTGCTTAGTCTTTTCACAGTTTTAGCCATCTCACATCCCCAAAAGAGCTGCAGAGGAGGTTTTTGTGTTAATGACATTCTGTGATTACAGCTTTGTTCTTGGAAGCAAACAAAGTAAAGTGTAGTCACCTTTACATTGAAAATATTTTTGAAACATGCACACAGAGGATATCAGAAATATTACACAGAATTCCAGACCACCACAAAGAAAGACCAAAAAC